GTCACATGGCAAATTTGTAAAAGGCCAGGATTCTCTTTCTTATCATGAAGCCATAAGTAACAACTGGTGCTCATTATTGTCATAGATGCTGGTTATTTCTTTTTTTTTTTTTTTCTTTTTCTTTTATTTCAGCATATTATGGGGGTACAGATGTTTAGGTCACGTATGTTGCCCTTGGTCCCCCCCCAAGTCCATGTTTCAAATATGTCCATCCTTCGGGTGGTGCGCATTGCACTCCCCGTCCCCTCCTCCCCCCTGCCCAACATCCAATAGATGTTATTCTTATATGTGCATTTATGTGTTGATTAGTTAATACCAATTTGATGGTGAGATGCTGGTTATTTCTACAGTTCTTCCTCTGCTTCTCTGTAGCCAGCTACCACTTTACCAATTTCTCCCCACCAAAGTATTCAGGTACTTCTCTCAGTGGTACATGATGAGCTCTTTTTTTTTTTTTTTTTTTTTGAGACAGAGTCTCACTGTGTTGCCCTGGCTAGAGTGCCGTGGCGTCATCCTAGCTCACAGCAACCTCAAACTCCTGGGCTCAAGCGATCCTTCTGCCTCAGCCTCCCAAGTAGCTGGGACTACAGGCATGCGCCACCATGCCTGGCTAATTTTTTCTATATATTTTTAGCTGTCCAATTAATTTCTTTCTATTTTTGGTAGAGACGGGGTCTCGCTCTTGCTCAGGCTGGTCTCGAACTCCTGAGCTCAAACAATCCGCCCGCCTCAACCTCCCAGAGTGCTAGGATTACAGGCATGAGCCACCGCACCCGGCCCATGATGAGCTCTTTAAACATACAACTCGCCTTTGGTTCCCCTGATAGAAAATCAACTACTAATTAGTGTTCTGTGTTAGAGCTGAAATGACTTCTGCTGTAAGAAATGATCTTTATCAATTAATTAATGTAGAACTTAGGCTAAAGATGGTAACTGTTACCTGAGTACAAAGTTGTTTTTTAATTATCTTTCTACCTGTTTCATAATACTACTGTCAAACACACCCTTGTCCCAATTTAAGTTCAATGTCTATATTCATAAACTAGTATATTTTCCAGATATATTATGGGCAATAATTCTGGCTGAATAGCACTTTAATAGTAAGACCAATGTCACATTTTTAGTCCCAGCATGGACCATTTCACTATGCTGTCAATCTAGACACAGACTGCATGCTTCCCCCAGCCATCCATCTCAGCAGGCATGCCTCCAGTCTTAAGGGGAGCTGGGTAAAATGAAAATAAACCAGAGCAAATTGAGCTCCAGTCCTTGAGAAAAAGCTCAAAGTACATGTTCCTTGATGCTATATCAATAGCATATCCCCTCTGCATATGAAGGAGCATGTATCCTCAAGTATTGTATAAGTATGCTTTGTTATTGTTGCATGTGGGTTTTCCTCACTTAAATTTTTTACTGGGCTGAATTTTTAGAAATGCTCTTTTCTGTGCTTTCTGAGGCTCCTTAATTGCTGTGTACATATTCCATCTATAATTCACCTATATACTCCATATTTTGTAATTCTAAATAACAAACTTTTAGATGTTAGTAATAGCAGTGCCCCTTCAGACACTTTTCAGAAGTGAATTGAGCATGAGGTCCCAAAACTGCTTCTCACTATGAAACAATGCAGGAGGAGAAAAAGGTATCTTGTGATTTAAATGAAGTTCAGCTATTTCCTAGAACTTAGCTGAGAATGTCTATATATTTTATTGTAAAAAGAGTCCTTGAAATTTTGGATGATCGGAAGAGAACTATAATGCATCAATATTAAAAATAATCAAACTGAGTTTTCTTTTAATTCCTGCTTTTCACTTATAACAGTAAAAGCTATTCAATAGCTGTGTTTTTTCTGATTTATTAGTGTTATTTTTAGCACTTCTCTGTACTTGCTTGTGTTAAGATTTAAGTCTGCTAATTAAGATATACACTGTAGTCTTCCAGTAGGTGTTTTATTTTCCACTTACTTGCTTTCCTTCCTTTAAAAAAAAAAATCAGGTAGGGACTAATGAAGTTCCCTCACACAATCACATAAGTGATCAGGATATATCTTGGCCTTCACATCTCTGAACAGAGACTTAACAGCTATTTTTTTCTTCTTGTTATGGTGGCAGGTGAAGTTTTGGTCCCAACACATTTCCTTCATTCTTGTTGGAATAATCATCGTCACATCCATCAGAGGATTGCTAATCACTCTTACCAAGGTGCGTTGTATCACAGCGTCAAAAAGTACTGTTTATCATTTGTTTAATTACAATGTGGTACCATGAGATAATTTTACCTAAGATTTCTGCCTCCTGAGATCTTAACAGTCCCAGGTATTTAAGAGACATACAACAGAACTTTTAAAAAGTTAAACTACTACATAAAGTGATGATGTATTTACTTCATAGATGAATACATTCACCAAAGGTAATAGAATGAGATAAGGATGTGTTTTGTTCACTTATATGTCACCCAACTGGCACATAGTAAGTATTCAGCAGATATTTGGAATAAATAAATGCGATATTTGAGATTAGAAGAATTGTGAGTCATTTGTAAAGAAAATATAGAAGTAGAAGAACAGAACATAGCAACTCCTCACTTAATATCATCAGTAGATTCTTGGAAATGGCTACTTAAGCCATTATAACATTGATGAGAAAAAAATTGGTTTCGTTATACATTATTTCACTTAAAGTCTTGGTTTCCAAGAACCTATCGACATTAAGGGAGGACCTACTATATTTAGCTGTTTTCTGATCAACATAGAAAAACTTCATGAAGGTAGAAAGTAAGTCCTCTCTCTAGAAGAGAGAGAGATTTCAAAATCCAAGAGCTATTTGAATGAAAGAAGAGGTTGGGACAAGAAGGGATCAATTGTCAAGGGACAGTTTTGGAAAGACCTCAGGAACCTAGTAACACTTACAAATGCTTAGTTAGAATGCCTGAAATAGTCTGATTTAGTGTTTTATAATGATGATAAGTCAAATATTGGCCAGGCACGGTGGCTCACGCCTGTAATCCTAGCACTCTGGGAGGCCGAGGCGGGCGGATCATTTGAGCTCAGGAGTTCGAAACCAGCCTGAGCAAGAGCAAGACCCCGTCTCTACTAAAAATAGAAATTGGCCAAACAACTAAAAATAGAAAAAAAAATTAGCCAGGCATGGTGGCGCATGCCTGTAGTCCAAGCTACTTAGGAGGCTGAGGCAGGAGGATCGCTTGAGCCCAGGAGTTTGAGGTTGCTGTGAGCTAGCCTGACGCCACAGCACTCTAGCCCAGGCAAGAGAGTGAGACTCTGTCTCAAAAAAAAAAAAAAGTCAAATACATCAGTTTCTAAAGTTTGATAGAATAGGAATCCTTTTATATATTATAATGTAACACCAACTACCTCTGAGGGAAAACTTTTTCAGTAGTCTGTTTTAAGTCTGTTCTTCATAGCCTTAATCATGTGAATTGTTCTACAGAGGATTATGGCATGGAGGAGACTTAATTGTTAACCATGTTACTTATTGTTCATGACACAGGAATCTCGCAGTACTACATAAATTCATCTCTTCTTTCTTGCCAGTTCTTTTATGCCATCTCCAGCAGTAAGTCCTCCAATGTCATTGTCCTGCTATTAGCACAGATAATGGTAAGTTTAATGAACTAGCTTTATGTTTACAGCTGGAAAATACCAGAAATGTTTTATACTTTTAAATATTTTAACAATTTGTTACCTGATGTTCACTACATTCAGAGTAACTTCTGGGTTGATTTGACATATAGGGCATGTACTTCGTCTCCTCTGTGCTGCTGATCCGAATGAGTATGCCTCTAGAATACCGCACCATAATCACCGAAGTCCTTGGGGAACTGCAGTTCAACTTCTATCATCGTTGGTTTGATGTGATCTTCCTGGTCAGCGCTCTCTCCAGCATACTTTTCCTCTATTTGGCTCACAAACAGGCACCAGAGAAGCATATGGCACCTTGAATTCATGCCTATTATATAGACTGTTAGAGTCCAGTAGTGTCAGAATTTGGATATAAGAGTGAGGGGACCAAGGCCTAATATTTTTGAAACAAAATGCTGTGGTAGCATATTTAACCTCCAGCGTACTCCTTCCTCATATGATACTGTGATCGTGAGGGAACATCAGCTAGAACATTGAAAGGGAGAAGTAACCCCAGGCAATACTCAGTAGAAAACATCCTGTGTGGATTTGAGGCTGCTATAGCTCGTGGTGGGGGAAGGGGGAAAAAGAGCCAAGAAAAAAAATACACTGGAACTTTGGGCAAGAGATATCTGTGGTAGCTGGGCCAAACACACATAGTATTTCTATTTTAAGTCAGGGTTCACATGGAGAAGGTCATGGCTTTCCCTTGAGACTGTCATTAAAAAAAGAATCAGATTGTAACACTTTGGTCTTGAGTTCATTTTATCAGGCATAGCTTGGTATTGTGCTTATGTGATCTAACATGAGTCAGCATCCCTCCCTCCTAACCCCTGCCCCATTAAAATAACCAAGAGGTTATCTGTTTTCTGGGAAAGGGATGGTATGCAACTGAAATAGATTCTACCAAAGGAAACTTGAGGTATGTCATTTTTTTTTTTAATTTCCTTTTAACTTGAGTGAATACGCTACATTCAATTCAGTAATGATGTCTCTATTTTTTTTCTTTCCATCTTTTTCTTTCCATCTGCCCCTCATGCTGTGGGGTAAAACAATGAATAACTGTTAAGTGATATAAGTCACTTTCTTATCCTGGGACTCAATTTCTTCATCTGTAGAAGGAAGACATGGGAAAATTTTTAGAATACTCAGAAATACAATTTAAGAAAATCCTAAACTTTATTACCTGGAAGTCTCCTTTTATTACTAAGGTCTTATTCTGTATTTTATTGTGTTTTAGGTTTCTAGAGGCAAATAAAGGTTAAAGTATAAAATGTTTATCCAAAACAAAAGCACTATTAAGGTTATACCAGCCAACAGAAGTCTCAAGCATATTCAAAAGGCATTTTTAATAGTATTTATTCCAGCAACCACAACAGTATTACAAAAGCATAAGTGTAAGTCTTTAATTAGCAGCTCTCACATATACAGATTTACAAATCATCTTTGGTCTCAAGGAGCCTCATAATACAGAGAAATGTAGTTAAGTTGAACCTTGGAAGAGATCACAAGAAAAGAATCTGGCTCCTGCCTTAGCTCTTCTAAGTGAACCATAAATAAGCCATCTGCAATAACCACCCACCCCTAAGAAATGGAAAACAGAAGACAATCGCACATGATAAATGGTTTCCAGAGGAGTTATTCCTCTAACAGACAGCAAACAGGTGGCAGCCCCTTGTTAAATACCCAGAAACAGCTATCAGCCAAAGCCATTATTTGTTCTCATCACATCTCTGTATCTTCAGAATTGGAAGAAGAATGTGAAGCTGTACTGTGCGCCTGTGCAAAAGAAAACAAGGGGTGATCTATTCTAGAGTTGCATGATTTAAGTCAGAGAGTAAAGTCACTCACTAGAAGCAAGGTGACCTGAATTCTATACCTGGCTTTGTTTCCAACTTGCTGGTTGACACATAAAAATATATATATACTGACATTAAGAAGTTAATAAGACTAGCATAGTACTATAGTTGATTTCCTATAGAGAAATTATATATCACCAATCAGAATTAAATTAATGGAAAGAATATCAAATTAGAGTCCTGGCTTTGCCATAAATTTTCTGTATGAACTTCAATAAGTCAGTTTGCTTTTAGACCTCATATTCATCTACATAAAGAAGTTAGACACATATAAAAGACTCACCAAGGAACTTACCTAAATATTTATAGAATACTTAATCTTTCTTAGTAATAAAGCTGGAATACCTGACAATTTTAAAACAATACTGCCCCTACCCATCACCATTCACTTACATGCTCACTGTGAGGCAGGTACTGTTCAAAGCACTTTATTAGTCCTAGTTATTATCATCCTGCTAACAATCCTACAAGTTATCCCCATTTGATAGGTGAGGAAACTGAGGAACAAATAAATCCATTTGCCCAAGGCTAATAAATGAGAGAACCAGAATTTATACCTAGATAGTCTGATTCAGGTTCTTCTGGTGGTTCTCATGATAATTTTGTTAAACTTCTTACTTTTACTTCTTGATTTATCTACTCTAGACAATTGCTGTCCACTGCATGCTTGAAAGTAAGAAATCTGTCATCCTTATATTACTGCTTCCTGTCTTATACACTAATTTGATTTGTTAGTTATCCTTACAGAGTCATTATCTGGTGTTTTTGTTTTTGTTTTCTTTTTAATAGAAAATCTGTGGTAAACATGGATATAAAGTGTGCTTATTAGTGACTGTACCATACTCTGGTAGGTTAGGTCACTAAAAGAAATGTATCAACACTCACTCGATCTTTTGCCACGTGCGAGTCATGCTCTGATTCCACCAGTGTTCCTTCTTTTGAATCTGGGGGGGCATCCAGTGGATCAGCCATGGAGGAAACAATGGGGATTTTCTTAGCTTGGAAATAATCATAGGCCTTCTTTCCACAGACTAGAAGTGTGACATTCTTCCCACTGCTCTGGATTCTGTCCACCACCGCCTCATAGGGTTCACCCAGCACGTTCACCCCATTCACTTCGATGATGATATCCTCATCCTCCAGCCCAGCCAAGTCAGCAGGGCCGCCCTTCTGTACCTGTGAACAAAGGTTCTGAGCTATCAATTCCAAACACAGATAAGGGCATGTTAGACTAGCTTTCCTTCAGAATATAGATAGAAGAGTTTGAGAATTCTTAGCCATGTTATTATTTCTCCTTGAGGTACAGAAGTTGAGAAAGGCACTCTATTTTTCTACTTATGAAAGCTACAACTTCCACACTTAAATGAGTAGCGTTAAAAGTAGTGGTCAAATATTATATTGTATGTCTTCTGGGCTGATGACATTAGTTTTCACAGGTCCCCCTTTACTCCCAACTTGAGAGCTACGGTGATAGTCTTCTCACTGTCACTTATCACTACAGTGATATATATCACTGTATCACAGCTATAGTGATAGTCTTCTCTCTTCTGCCCCCATAATAGGGGCATTATGCCCAATGCATAGAAGTAAACACATATCACTCCCAGTCAAGGTTGATAGTGACTGTCAACTACAGTCATGTCAATCACTGATTTGAAAGTGTCTAGAGACATAATTTGGTGGAACAGGTGTTTGGGAAGCAAAAGATATTAAGTTTATGACATACTAGTAGCTAACAAAGGGTATACAACTATGACAGCATTTATGTGAACCCAAGTGAGACCCTCAGTGTAACCTTTTTAACTAAGCCATCAATGGGTGGGAGAGGCTGAGACTATCCTAATTGTGGCCATGTTCATTGGGCTTCTGGAACCTAATTACCATACCTCTTTGACGAACGGGCCTGGAAGACCCTGAATGGCATTTAAGTGAAAGCCATAGCCATTTTCACCTTTAACCAGCATGCAAAGTTTAGGCTTATGATCTACTTCTTCTGTAGTATCTGGACTTGAGACCTCCAGAGAAGCAGGACTAGGAGCTGGATCCTCCTTGACAGAGCCATTAGGCAGTTCTTGACTTTGATAGTAGAGAAATGGAGAAAAACGAGCCTTTTGAAAATAAAGGAAAAGACATTTGACTTAATAAAGTGTGCTGCCTGAATTTTACCACACCTACAAAGAACTGGTGCCTATCCTGCAGAAATTACTCCACAACATGGAGAAGGATGGAATCCTCCCCAACACATTTTATAAAAGCCAACATAACCCTGATACCAAAACCAGGAAAGGACGCAACAAAAAAAGAAAACTACAGACCAATATCCCTTATGAATATAGATGCAAAAATTCTCAACAAAATCCAAGCAAACTGAATCCAGGTGCTTATCAAGAAAATAATCCATCACAAGTGGGCTTCATCCCAGAGATGCAGGGATGGTTCAACATACATAAATCTGTAAATGTAATTCACCATATAAATAGAAGCAAAAACAAAGACCATATGATCCTCTCAATAGATGCAGAAAAAGCATTTGACAAAATTCAACACCCTTTTATGATAAGAATGCTTAACAAAATACGCATAGACAGGGCTTACCTAAAAATGATACAAGCCATATATGACAAACCCACAGCCAACATCATACTGAATGGAGAAAAACTGAAAGCATTCCCACTTAGAACTGGAACCAGGCAAGGCTGCCCACTGTCTCCACCTATATTCAACATAGTGCCGGAGTCCTTGCTACAGCAGTTAGACAAGAGAGCAGAATTAAGGGCATCCAAATGGGGGCAGAAGAGATCAAACTATCACTCTTTGCTGATGATATATTATATCTAGAAAACCCCAAGGATTCAACCAAGAGACTCCTAGAATTGATAAATGAATTCAGTAAAGTCTCAGGATACAAAGTCAATACACACAAATCAGAGGCATTCATATACGCCAATAACAGCCAAACTGAGAACCAAATCAAAGACTCAATTCCCTTCACAATAGCAACAAAGAAAATAAAGTACCTAGGAATATATTAAACTGAGGAGGTAAAAGACCTCTACAG